GAGATAAATCAAAACTGATGGAGATGAAGCCAAAAAAAAAGAGAAGTTGTATAGTTTTTTTTATTTTTATTATTTTTATTTTTATTCTTTTATAGTAACTGCTCAATTAAAAAAATAACCAAGTAAAGAAAGACTTTAATCAAATTAAAGTACTCTTATATGAGGAGAAAACAGGAGTAATATTAAAAATACATAAATAAATAGGAAATAATACTTTATTTGAAACAGACCTCTTTATTTCATGTTGTAGGTAGAGAGAGATTAAAAGCATAAGGTTTATATTATGAAAATATATATATTCTGAAAGTATTTATGATTCTTGATATGGTTAAAAAATATCATTTACATATCTCAGTATGAATAATTTAAATTTCTAAAAATTAATTTAGTTTACTTATATCATAAAATTGATTTATAGATAAAACTAAGCATTATAATATAAAAATTAAATACTACTTAATAATATTTATAATATAAAATTATAATATCATTAATATAAAAAAAGATTATTAATTATTTATATTAATAAAGCTATAATTCTAGCTTTATAAGAGTAGCTCTTAACTTTTTATTTTATAATAATAATAAAAAGTATATTTTATATAAAGTATAAAAAAATAAAATTATATTTTAATATAATAATAATTTTTAACAGAGTTAATATAATTATTTTTATTTATTTCAATATTTAAAAATATATTATTATTATTATTATTATTATTATTTAAAATATATTTAATTATTAATTATAATATTTATCTAGTTAAGCTAGAATAATTAAAAAAAGTAACTTAAAATATATAATAATGAGATATATTTCAGAATATAATATGTAAAAACAATTTATTATAAAAGTACACTTTTTTTACTTAATTTTTTAACTGTTTTTTATATCAATTTAAGATTTATTTAATACTTTTTAAGTATTTACAAATATTTAAATATGGTTAATATTAAATTTTTATGTGATAATCTTATTAACTATTGTAAAAGTCTTTTAAATTGCAAATTACTATAATGATATAAGATCACTAAGCTGAAAAGAGTAATTGCAATTGTCTAGTAATGATATAGTAATCACTCTGCAATTACTCTATAAATAAATAATTAATGAACAATTATCTCATAGAGACTACCTAACAATAATCTAGCAATTATATTTAAAAAAGAAGTATTTATACTAAAAAAAATATATAAAAATAGAGTTTTTTTTAAATCTATTTTTTAGAAATTATCTTAGTATTTTATTGAAGTAGCTTATCTAGTTAACAATCAAATATCAGTATATTTTCATCTAGATTGAAGCTATAATATAATACTAAGATTAATTTCTTTTTTTTACTTTTTTAAAATAGATATTAGATGAAAAATCTTTAAAAAAAATCTTTAATTATTTTTATTTTCAATTTTTAAAAAGGTTATAGGCATATTAAAAGCTATTAAAGAATTTAATAATTTATAAAAATCAAACTAAGATAATATAACTCAGATAGAGAAAGAGATCAAATTAAAAAAAACTCTATCTATAAATCTATTTTTTATATTAATGAAAAAGAATCTTAGATGAGTGTAATAAAACATTCTAACCTTATGAATAAAGTTAAAAATCATATAGAAGGACTTCAATTAAAGTAAGATAATTAGTAAAAACAAATAAATATTATAAATCAGTAAATAAATAGTTTGATAAAGAAATGAAAAATGAAATACTTTACAAGAGACTGTAAACTTCTTGATTTATAAATCAGACTGATAAATATATACTAGATATAATAATCAGTAAAGCTTGATAATATCTAATTTCTTATTGATGAGGAAGAATTAATATTTAAGAACTGACTCTCAAGAATGAAATGCAAGCTAACTATCAATGCTGATCACTTTTCAATAGAAAAACACTATATTATCTTTATTGAAAATTAAATAAATAATAAAAGTGTAAAATATTTAACTTTATAAATAAAAGAAGATTATTTAGAAAAGTTTAAAATAGTAACGAAAGTATTTAAAAATGTGCAGAAAATATTTGAAAATATTGATAAGTAAAAAAATACAAAGATGAAATATCAACAGCTGATAATGAAAAATGAAGATAACTGTTATGTATTTGCAATCAAGTTTTTATATTTGATTAAAAAAACTCAAATTCTAAAAAAATAATTATAAAGTAAATTTTCTTCATAAGCTCTTCTTTAATCTATAATATATGATTACAGTAGTTTATATCAATTATATCATCTTTTGTGAGATTTAAAATATCAATATTTAAACTACTCATTATCTCAATAAAATACTTAACTTAAATAATTGATGATTATAAAATAGTAAGATTTTAAAACAATATCAGAACAACTATGAAAAAATTCTCTCAATTCAAAATAACTGTAAATTGATATCAACTGTATTATTATAAATATCTAAGTATAAACTAATGAATGAGAATTGGAAAAAGAATGTGAAAAACTTTAACTGCTAAAGCAAAGATCATATAATATAGAATTGCTCATATAAGCAAAAGATGAAAATGAAAAAATTAGGCAGTAAGACTACTATCATCAAATCAAAAAATAATTAAGTCTGAGAGAAGTTTTCTTCTCAGATAGAATAATAATATTAAAAACTTTAAATATAAATAATTTAATAAGTAGAAATTTTTTTACTATATATATTAAAGTAGCTTTTAATAAATATATTATTTTTATAAGATTACTAGTAAATTCTAAAGTAAATTACTATTTTTATTAATTTATATATCATATAAAAATATATTAAAGTTTTAGAGATGAACTATGAAGAGTTGAAAAAAAGTTATCAGATTATAAGCTTTAATAATCAGAGAAAGACTTTAATTATAAAAATTATCTTTATATATTTATAAATAGATGAATTTTTTTTTTTCAATATATCAATATTACTGATAGATTTGAAAAGTACTGACATAATTCTAAGATAAATCAGAGAGCTAGCAGAGTAAAAAATATAATTGAATATAAAAAATTAATATTTAATTTGACTAAATATATAAACATCTGAAGATAAGATATTAGAAGAATAAATTATAATAATTTCAAGAAGTATCTTGAAAAGATCAACAATTAAGCCAGAGCATCAACAAAATACTAACTGTTGTGATAGACTTATCAATAAGAAATTCAGATATGAAGTTGCTAGAAGGAGCAGAGCCATAAATAGTAAAAGTAATTTTGAGAAAACAACTATGAAAACTCAATAAATAAATAAATTAAACAAATTGTAAGTATGGCAATCAAGTAGAAAGAAGTTAACTCTCATGATTGAATATGAAATAGAGCTCTTCTTGATCTATCAGCTTCCCTTCTCGGGTATGGAATTGGGGATCCTTGGGAACTGATCAGACAACCGACACA